TTAACGATTAAAAGAAACCCCGAATTTTTTCATATCTATTTTCCTTTCATACTTTTCAGCCCCTATCCATGTAATTTTTTCATACATATATTTCTGTATTAGTGCTCTGAGCATATCCTCTAGATACACATGTGTGAATGTATCTGAGGTAAGCATGAGCAGAGCTTGCATATGTCAGGAAATGCTTTGATCTCTTAATTTTCTGCAAAAATACAGTTTAAATCAAAGGGAGGCCGCTGCTATGGGCCACGTGTCACAATATTTGTGACAGCATTAACGAAATAATTGTTGAAAGAGTGCATCATAATTAACATGCCGCAAAAGGTGACAAAACTCGGTGGTACCCGGTTTTTCCCCCCCATGTAATACAAATACGATTTCCTGATAAATAAAACTACTTTGTAGTTATCCGCTCTCCATGGAGATAAATCATCTCAGCACCTTGGGTACTAATTGTTTTTTCCTGACCTAAAATTAGTTATTCATTCGTTTGACTTGGTAATTTATTTATCACTCTCTGCTCAAGAGACAGGGGAACCAGGCTTCTTCTACCATTTGATGGAGATGTTTGGCAAATTTAATTCCGAAAAACAATGAACTGTCTCTGGCTGAGGAGGGACCGGGACATGTTTTTGAGTCGTCGCAGTTCCACATGGTTAAATGCGGAAATGTGGGTTTTACTTCTTCTCCGCGAAAGCTGCACATCACCTATCGACTGGATAGCCGTCTGCTGCACTCTGTTTTTAGTCCCATCATTGTTTTAGTTTCCAGTGTGATCGTTGTCTGCATAATAACATGTTATTATCATTTTATTTGTTTGCCAGCTCAGGCCACTCCACTCTCGGATCAGGCAGAGACTCGGATATCCAGATACTCCGAGAAGAAGTATCTGCAAGGTAAAGGTAAACGTAAGAGAGTCAATGTGCTAAATGCTCGAAACACATGTTCTTGTGTTTTTTAAGTGTGTCCGCCGGAATTAGCATAATTGTGGATTTCACTTGGAAAATATCAGGGTTTCATCAGATGCTTCAGAGGGTGTTTATTCACATGTATTATTTTTGAAGTCAGCTAAATAATAATATTTATGAAGATGGAAAATTTTATTTTCACCCTTTAAAGGTTATTATTAATTCCTCAGTATTTAAAATATACTCCCTGATAATACATTAATTCCTGTGACCAGTGTAAGTTTAAACAATTTTGGGTTAACAATAGAAAACACGCTTAAGCTGGCCAAGCATAAAAGCCGTGACTTTTCGAATGTCGACAGTTTCTCAATAAAGAAACTCCGCCTATTGATCGGTGGGACTTTGAGAATGCTGTAAACCGATTAGGAATCCGTAGTCCCAATGAAGAGACACTAGCCATAATATTGGAATTTCCCTAAGCCGGGCTGAGAGAATAAACAATTTGTTGGGTGGAAGAAAGTTGTGTGTGTTTTTTGTGATGGAAATTATGCTTGCCGCTCTATAATAATTAAATCATTCCGCTTCTGAAAACTATAAGAAGATACACGATTGATTTAAGCTGACAACCAAAATCCGTTCCAATTTCCAATGGCGATTGAGTCTTAACGGCGCTGACAATATGGATTTGATGCTTTTCGATCGCGATCGAGATGGAGATCGAGATGGAGATGGAGGCCTTTTGTGCGATGCGACAATGCAGCATACAAAGCGCTGGGCGCGTGAATTAATAATCTCTGGTCCATAAAAACAGATGTCAGCTTAAAATTCGGGCACCGCCTTTGTGTGCTACTGGTTTTTTCCTATTCAATACCCCGGATTACGCTACTTGTATTGAGTTGGATCTGTAAAAACGGCCTTCACGGGAGCCAAAAGTCAATCGAATCGACTGCAAGCCAAAGTCCAGGAATGTAGTTTTTGGAATTGGTTTGGATTTTTATTTGGGTTTTATTGAGAAAAATAGAAATAAAGTGATCTTGTTTGAGCGCTTTCGGAAGAGGTCATTTATTTTATGGCTCAACGATGTACAGGTTCAAAGTTATTTTTCTTGCTCAATTTTTATGAATTTCTAGCAGTTGTAGTATGCTATGTTAATTTTGATGTGTGCATTTTGACATTCCCACTGTGATCGCACTTGATTTCGGAATAGACTCTGTGCTAAATTATTATTAAATCAAAATGAATCCAGAGAAATTGAAGAAATTGGAGGAGCAGGTGCGCATCGGTGGCAAGGGCACTCCCCGTCGCAAGAAGAAGATTGTGCACTCCACGCCCACCACCGATGACAAGAAGTTGCAGGCATCGCTGAAGAAGCTATCGGTGAACACAATTCCCGGCATCGAGGAGATGAACATCTTCAAGAGCGATGGCACTGTCATCCATTTCAACAATCCGAAGATGCAGGCCTCCCTGCCGGGCAACACGTACGCATTCACTGGCCACTGTGAGAGTAAGAAAATCTCGGAGATGATGCCTGACATCCTCACCCATCTGGGATCCCATGATATTAACCAGCTGAAGAAGCTGGCCACGGAGTTTGCCAATAAGAGCGCCGCCGGCGGAGCAGGTAGTTCAGTTGCTGCTGCTGCCGCCGATGCCGGTGACGATGATGTGCCTGATCTGGTGGAGAACTTTGAGGAAGTTGCCATGGCTGATGTCCCAACTAATGGCGAGGTGGTGGCTTCCACTTAAGAGGAACGCGTCAGACTGAAGACATATGAACACACCAGGCGGAGAAGCGAAGGGACAGGCAGGTATACAGGACATACCGCCCAGCCAGAGACACTACAATACACACTCTACACACTGAAGAAAGCATCCTGGTTCCAAATCCTGGCCGAGCGAGCGGTACGTCCCTGGAATACAAGCCTTTCCTTCGCCGCCCTTCGTCTCTTTTCTTGAGGGTCATGCTGCAAACTGTTTTACGAAAGTTGGAACTAAGCTAATTATTATAATAAAAAAAGCATAACAAATATCCATAGCTTAAGCCACATAAGACATATTATATCTTTTCGTTTTGATTGTAATTCCTCCTTGTCCCCATATCATAAGGATATGGATACCATCGCAACTCCTTATGGCGAAATCGCACTTAGCCATGGATGAGCCACAGCAAATCGACCTGCGATAGTCGATAATGGAAGACCATAAATAACTTGTGGGGTTTATTAACCCCTGACTCCCTCCACTCCCTTGTCCCCCTAGTCTCTTAACCATATACCGCCTTTTGTTACCTCCATTCATAAGTTTTCTGCTCACTTTGCTCTTGTTCTGTTTATGTCGGCGAATGCGTTTCCGGTCAGCGACACACAGGAAAACACGTTTATAGCAAAATATTGTTTTTGTGTTTCTTCTGTTGTTTCGTACTCCACCGAAAGCCCTTAAATCACCGCATTGGTAGGGGGAAAACTGTCTATGATTAACCAATAAAAATAAATAAATACTGCATTATACTTAAGGGAAAGGAAATGAAAAACGGAGGGAGAGCGTCGCGACGGTTTTCATATGTGTTCCAATTTATTAACACCTTTTTGTTTTTGTCTTTAGCTTAATTCTTTATAGCTGTTGTTAGCGGTTTTCGTTATTTTTTAATTTTACTTTTTTGTAAGTGTTTATTATAGATATAGATATTTATATAGCTTTTGGACATTGTGGTGATTGGTGGCAGTAAACGTACAAAGCTCATCAAAAGTATTTTATTTTTGATTAATGGTTAATTCATATTTTTGTTTAGGTTTCTTTATTTTCATTGGGGATTTATGTGTGATAAAAATAGGAAAAAATGTAATTCAAAAATAAACTGGTTAACTGCTAAGCTGTGCCATTAAAATTGGTCTAGACATCGGAGAAAAAACTGGGCTTGGAAAAAACTCTGATATCCCAATTATATATTTCAAATAAATAAAAGACTGTTTTTTTATGATTTATTTATACCAATAATTGTGGCTTTTGTTTAATGTGTCTCATTATCATTCTTTTTATTATAAGTATTTACAGTTTTACTAATTTACACTACGCTTAGGGCGCTACAATTACGCGAGCTTACACATTACTTACAACTTGTGCATAAAGTACAGCGAATACACGGATCTCTAGTTTTAGGAAATAATTACACGCACATTTAGGGAAGTTATGGTACATACGAAGTAAAATAAATTAAATTTATAAACGACAGGAACAAATTGGTAACTTAAGACGATAAAAACAATAACAGCTAAATCAATGATTGCTCGTGTACATTTGGCTTGGGTTCGGGCTTGGGGGATTTAAGGGGTTCTTTCCTTTCAGCAGACTTCGGGTTTGATATGTTTTTCTGGGGGGAACTCAAACGAAGAAAACCAAATAGATCTGAGGATCTACACAGGTGAGTGGGAGATATAGGAGGACAGACGGAGAGAAATCCTGGCTGCCAAGGATGTGTGCTCTACATTTTAGTGGGTTTTTCTCTCTCTCTGCCGGATCGGTGGCCTTATATCGGCTATATACGTGTTAGTGGTCGGGTATATGCATTGTATTGTATTCATTGATGTCGCCCCTGCTCTATATATCTTCCAATTTTTACATCCTATAAGCTCTGATTGCATAAGTTGTATGTAATTAAATTAACGTATCTTCAAATGGTTTTTGGATTATCATCATCTTCTCCACAAAAATTGCACAACGTCTCTGGGGCAGCAGCGGTTGTTGTTTGGGTGTTCCAATCTATATCTTTTCTATTTTCGTTTTTTTTTTGTTTTATATATATTTTCTTTCAGTTTTTCTCATATATATTATCTTTTCGTGGGGGGGCCCATGCCAAGGAAACCGCTGCATTTTCAGCTGGTTTTTGCTTGCTATTTGGTATAAGCGGCGTTAATCAAAATACCGAATAATCACATTGTAAATTATTGTCCGAAAGTGTAATTATACCTTTCAAGCCCGGGCATCGAAGTCGGATTAGGAATCGGAATCGAAACTGGATCTGGAATCGGATTACGGCCGCAGGAGCGTGAGCTTCTGCTGCTCCCGGAAGGCGATCAGCGAGCGGAAGGCGGAGATGGGCGAGGCAACCGATGGCGCCGTCGTCTCAGGATCCGGAGATGCCGATGGATGTCATGGCTTTGCACTCAGCGAGGTGACATTGACGCCGGGCGATATCTTGCCGGAGTGCGAGGATGAGGACGAGGCGGTGGAGTTGCTGGATATTGGTCCCATCATGTGCTGTGCCGCCGACTGCCCGCTGCTCGTCGGTATGTGCACCACATCGCAGCCCATGGATGAGGACGAACTGGAGGCGGAGGGTGAGGCCACTGGCGGTGGCGCCACCTGATGCTGGGCCCCACTCGCTCCACCAGTGCCCGAGGTGGTCAGACTGAGCGGTGCAAAGTGGGGTCCATTGGCGGCTCCCGATACCGCCGCCTTCCACAGCAGCGGATTCATGCCCAGCGGTCCGTTGTGCGCCGCCAGACTGGCCCCAAAGCTACGCTGATGCTCCAAGAACTCCTGCGTGGGAGCACTCAGGTGCGCAGCCGCCGGTCCATAGAATCCCCGATACAGATCCGGGCGGACATAGGGCGAGTAGTTGGGTATCCGAGCCGCCAGCGGGGACAGGATCTTACCCGGCGATGGCTGCTGTCCGGGATGTCCATAGAAGCCGGGATGCGTGGGTGGCAGTTCTGCCGCCAGGTTATCCTTAGCCCCCGAGCTCGACTCCTTGCTATCCTTGGAGGCCATGTCGGCCAGCGACCAGATCCTTGGCTTGGCCGTACCACCCACCGCCGTCTGCAGCGAGTTCTGCTGCGCCTGCTGGTGCTGTTGCAGCAGCTGCTGCTGGTGATGATGGTACGCGGCAATGTCCGGGGGGGAGCCCGCCGGTGGCCGGAAGTGATGGTGCAGGGCGGCGGGATGGAAGAGCGGATGGGCACCGGGTGGCATGCTACCAGGTCGGTCGTACAGATCGGGGGAGCCATTAGGAGAACCCGGTCGGGACTCGGACCATTCGCTGTTGTTGCTCTCACCAGGACGGTCCGCAAGCATGTCACCAAGGCGACCACTGCGGTCTTTGTCGTCCGTGGAGCCCACGCCAGAGTCCTTGGCATCTGTAAAGGGATTGTGAAAAGAAAGGGATGAAGTTAGTATAAAATTGGGAAGAAAGGAAACAATTCCTTTGGAAAACTACTTCTATAAGAAAGTATCTAAGTTTTCTAGTTAAGTTTTTAGTTATTTTTTCTTACCTAACAGATCATTATCCTCCGTGTTCTTGTCATCATCGTCATCGATATTGGCATCATCATCATCGACACGGTTCCTGGGCTCCCAGGTCATTTTGTTCTCCTTTTTCAGTCTTCTTCTCGCATTGGCGAACCACGTGGACACCTGCGTCAGTGTCATCTTGGTGATAATGGCCAGCATTATCTTCTCGCCCTTGGTCGGATACGGATTCTTCTTGTGCTCATTCAGCCAGGCCTTCAGCGTGGATGTGGTCTCGCGGGTGGCGTTCTTCCGCCGGGCTCCATTCAAATCCATGCCATAGCTGTAAAACAAAAAAATACAAGAAATGAAATTCTCAGTTAGACGGGGTTTAAAGTCAGAGTTTTGCGATAAGGACAACCGATGGAACGACCAACGACCGACCATTCCTCGAATTGCCAGCAGGTGATTAAGGCCCGAATGGAATGCAGGCCCAGCTGTTGCCAGGTCGTTTGGAGTTCCTGCTTAAATATGCGCCAGGCCGGGGCCCAAACAATTGTTGCAATTTGTTAAACTGGTCGAAAAGGGACGCTGGGCGGGCTTGGGCTTTGTTTGTGCGTTAAATTTGTTCATCATAAACGCATTTGCATGGGCCCCAAAAGAACATTTATGCCCATGCAGTTTGCGGTCTGACACATTGCTCCCCATCCCACTGTCCGCGGTCCCCGGTCCCCGGTCCACTTCATCCACAATGGGAATCGATGGTCGATGGTCGAATGTTGCCGCATGCCGCCGTGGACAACAACTGTCCTTTATCGCTTTTTGTGGGCAGTTAACATGAACGTTTTTAGTATATTGAATGTATATACATCGCGGTGAATGCATATATGTCCGGGAATACTTAAATACACATGGGATAAATCCTATAAGAAGTTTTTTAAATTTTAAAAAAGAATTAACTAAACAAGACAACGAAATGCATATAAAAACCAGACACAGTTTAAGATATACATTTTGTGTTACATTTGAGAGCTTCAATAGAAGACTTAATTTTCTGAGAAGAACATATAATTCTTAAGTTTATTTAAAGGATTTTCTATACAAGTAGATCTTTTAAAATTATTGGTATTGTAATTCTAAAGCTATTTTTGTGGATCTTCTTTTTTAAATAATCTTAGATATAGTTGCTTAATGACCAGTTTATTTAATATTTGAATTAATTTGACTACTGTCCGTCTCTTATTTTATTTCTAGATATTTACAGAATCTATAATTCCCAAGCTATTATTTTGAAACATGGTTTTGAAATGCCTCAGATATTCGTTTACTTTTGTAGGAAATATATCCTTAAAAATTGGATTCAAAATTGAAATTATTTTCGTTAGAAACTTGCTATAGGTCCCATTAATTTTTTGAAATAATTTCAGAACCTTGTTTTAATTTTTTCAAGTGTACAAAATGCAAAACAGCATACGGGGGAGAAAGAGAAAACAGAAACAAATACAGTGCCATCACATACATGTGTAGCTGTCTCATTTGTAGTTCTCAGACAGCTGCCCGATCCGAACAGAGAGGATGACAACGATGTCAACTGGATGCTAAAGCAGCTATAGCTATAGCCACATCGAGTATATATATATATACACCACATCCATACATATAGGCAGTAATATACAGAGGGATTGCTGCTGCTCTGCTCTGTGCGATGCATTAATTAATTTAAGTTTGAATGCAAAGTGTCGCCAGAGTGCGAAACACCTGCGCAGACAGGCACTCTGCCTTTGATCACCTGACAGCTGAATACATTTTTTTAATTTTCCTATCAGCACTGTAAATGATTGGTGACGACACCAACGCCCCCAAGTGCTTTTCCCTCCGAAATCTAAAAAGGTGGGGTTCTCGCGCGCGTATTTTGAATTTTGAATTTCGAATGCGAATTCGAATTCGAATTCGCCAAACCGCCAAGCCGGCACGTCACGGCGAAATAACTCAAAATTGATTTATGGCAAATATGGTGGTGGTATGGCCAAGATAGACAACAACTGTGATATATCATCGACATCGACATCAACAGTAGCTGCATGAGTCAACTATCAAATTTTGTTATGAGTGTCAATTACAGGGGAAACAATGGGCCCGCCGATGTACCTGTCCGAACGTGAGGAGAGGTGAAAATGACGTGACGGGATGTTGTCGATTGTCGATTGTTTAACTGGCAATTGTGTGTTGGAAATTTATGTCACTTGAATGCAGCATGTTTTGTGGTTTTTTAGGTTTCGGAGGTGCGTTGCCTTGCCTTGCGTTGCGTTGCGTTTCATTACGTTTCGATCGGCGGAAGCAACACCCACCCGCCGACGTGCAAACGATCAATTACAAGTGAATAAATGGGGAAACTCAACAAAGTGACTATCGAGTATCGAGTATCGAGTACTGATTGCCGAATGCCGCTGCGCCTGCGTGCCAATATGCGCCGCACTTTTACTATTCGAACGCACATTTCTGCGCCGGCATTTAAAATGCACCTGCACGCACCTGCAGCACCTCAATCCGAAGTCCCATTCCAAATCCCAATCCAAATCCCAATCCCACTCACGTTCCGATCGACGCCTTTACAGCGGACCACCATCCGAGTTTATAGAGTTTTTTAGATAGCGCGTATGTGGGGAAGTATCCATCAGATACTATTGTGACTAATCCTCACCTGTTGAACGGATAGCCGGCAAAGGCCGCGTCGTAGGGATGATACATCGAGGGATATGGCCAGGGGGAGGCTCCGGCCACCAGGTTCTCCTTTAGATCAATCCCAGCCTGGAAGAAATGATAGATAGAGCAGAGCATGAGTATTTTTGTCAAAAGTATATAATTTTAGACTAATTTCTAGATGAATTTCGGATTATCGCAGCTTGAACCCACAAGACCTTGAACCAAAATTATTAAAAATCATGTTAAACAAATTCATTAAGACATATTTGTGTTTATTTTTAGATGGATGGATGGCTTAAGATGGGCCAAATGTTATCAGGAAAAAAAAAACAGAACAGTGGAATTGAAATTTTTAAGGGGAAAGATTAAGAAATTTATGTTTAAATATATAATTATCTAGAAACTATATTAGAAATCGTAATATTTTGATTTAAATTGGTAATGGGAAATACCCATTCGATGCTAATTAACTCGCAATATTCCCACTAAGCTAGAATATATTTTAGTGACACTGTTCAAGTGATAAGCCGGAAAACAATCTGACCAGCATCAGTCGGGCATGTGGACAAGTCGTGACGCCTGACAGTGACTTTAAGAGCTGGTAGATCTCTCTCCACTCGCTCTACCAGATTGTCTCCTTAATCGCTGTTTCGATGGAACAAGCACATATAGTGCCATTAGGCTGAACGATTGGAATCACAGAAAACATTTAGGAACACAGACTTTGGCACTGATAGGCGTGGGACAACAGGCGTGTAATATAGAACGCCGATTAAGTTTAACACGACAATTATCTCAGTGTCTTGTCTCGATTCGCTGCGACATTTGCCAGCTGTTCGGGGACCGATAATGGCGGAGCGACAGAAGCAGCTGCCTTTAGTATATACATATACTCAATATATTATAATCGTCGAGATCGGACGCATATTCGTCACCTGAGCCACGATCCGCCGCCGCAGTTATGACACAAACATATATTGTCCAGTCTGAAACAGCGGGGGTACGAAAACAAGATGCGGAATCAATGAGAACGAGCCCGATACGGATCTACATGGCACCACAGGACGAGAGAGTGCAGGATGCACTCGGATGCAGGTCCCAAAATCCAGGCGAAATCTATTGTCTCGCTGTCGCGACGAGCGTCTGGACATTGCGGCAAAAGCGGAAATATTTTTATGTCGCCAACACGAAAATGTTGTGCCGTTGATGTTGCAACATCGCTATCGCTGGCCATCGATGCGGAGTAGGAGTCTGGCATCGGGATTGGGTCTGGGTTTGGTTCGGGTTCGGGTTCGGGTCTGGGTCTGGCCAAAAGAGGTCTCCTCTCCTGCCACTCGTTTGGCGCAGCATGTGGTGTGTGCGAGTACAGCGGCGATAGACTGATAAACAGCAAAGGCAACAGCCACAGATCTTTCGGGGCCAGGTTAACTCCAGGGCCAAGGCCCTTTGACAGGTTTGACACTTAAAAAAAATTATATATAACTCAAAGAGGCGAAGAAAAAGCCTAAAATACAATTTATGAAATGATTATAGAAAAACCAAAGTGGGACTAGGAAATATTGCTTAATATATTACAAAAAATCTTATTAAATTCCTGGAAGTTACAGAATTCTGATTAAAACAAATTTCTAAAAATTGAATCTGATTAAATTGAAATCATTCCCAGAAACTACTTAATATTTTCTTTGAAGTCGTTTGAAGTATAAATTCAGGTTACTAATCTTACTCTTTACTCTTTGAATATAGTTGAAATGTTCATTAATTCAAGTTTGCCCTTTAAATGGAATTCACTCTAACATTTGGCCATTTACTTGAAATTTTGACTGTAATTCTCATCTTTAATGAAAGTAATTTGTTACTTAATAACATTATTATTGATTTCAGAAAGACATTTCTCTGAGTGCGTCGAACAGCCTGCTTCTCCGAGCGATTGCAGAAGTCAGTTAGCCGAACATGGACAGCGTTTTGGGACAGACTATATTAAATTACACGGGCTGCTCCTATTTCTCAATGGAAGCTCGAATCGAACCTTTGCTGCTGAACTGAACCGAGACCGAAACCAGTTTACGTTTTACAACCTTTACAATAATCACGCCCGGCTATCACGGGAATTGGCCAAAAGTCGAGGATGGGAATCGGTATGGGGAAATGGGAATGGGGGATCCTCACATCCCAATCCCATACACCGAATCTGTGTCGTGCGTGTTTGGCAGCGAGTGCGTGTAGGCCATGTCGATGCGGGTAAAGCGCATATAATAAATTGTAGCCGGCTACCAAGCCAAGTAGTATCTACTATATATATACCCACTGAGCAACAGTAGCTGGTTGCTATTGCCTCTGGAGTCGGGAGTCGGGAGTCGGGAGTCTGCTTCCTTCTGGACAGAAAAACGCACCCGTGCCGGCCGGGATTTGCGCTGGCGGTGGTTAATATTAACAACATTCGACATGTTTGCGTCTGCGTTTATTATTACCAATACTGCGATGCGGCAGCAACAGCAGCAGCAACAGTTGATGTTGCAGCAGCAACTGCAACTCGTTTTTTGTTGTTGTCGAGTTAAATATTGCATTACCACTGGCGACGACAACTGCAATTGTGAAATGCTGTGTAGCGCGCAGATCGCATATTGCCGATAGCTTGTTCTTCCGCAACAATGTTTATGCATTTGCACAAATGTTTGTAGTTTCGGCTTGTACCAGGTGTGTTTGTCTTGCCTTAAATGCCCAAATCTGACCACCATCAGTGCAAGGCAGAAGGAGATTTTTAACCTTAGCTTATCGAAGTAGCTAACTATTTAAGAGTTACTAAGAGGGTTACAAAAATCTTATAAGGAACCCAATCAAATATCACCAAAATGACCTTTTTGTACATACTATTTGTAAACAGAATAACTCTTAAAATATCTTACTAAGCAAAATAAAGGTTGCCTTGAAAGTTAAGAAGTTGATGAAGTAACTTCATTTTAGTAAAGTTAAAACTCTCTTTAAATATTACAAGCTGATTCATCACAGTTTATCATCTGTTTGTTTAAAGATGAATCATTGCAGTTAAAAATTTAATTAAATATATATAAAAGAACCGTGAAATGGTGTTTGTTATGCTCTTTAAGTTATAAGAATTATGTACTGTTCTGTTTAAGAAAAGCCTTAAAAAAAGTGTGAAATTTAGGAAATAAATAATAAGCAGAATTTCTATATTAAAAATAAAGAATAATAAAGAAATCATAAGGAACACTATGAATCCATCTCCTCCTGAAATCTTCTCTCTTAACATTTCCCATTAATCTTCTCCCCTCACAAAACTAATATTTGGCCAAGGAACTTGTGTTTATAATAAAGTTCCCCCCACCTTGGAGAGACCAACATGAATGACTGACCACTGGCTGGCCACAAGAACACTCCAAGTGGTTGCTGGGATGATGTCTGCTGATTCAGTGGATCCCAACCATACCCGACAACCGGAGTGCGTCGTTTCACGCATCGGGAAGTGCGGTTTTTGCCCAGGGCTACCCTCTCTTCCTTCCTTCGTCTGCGGGCAAATTAAATAATTCAAATTAAAATGGGTCTTTGTCTTCATTACCAAGAAAATTCTGCGACTGTGTTCCCTTCACGCCAAACGTCAATGCCTTGGGATTACGACTATATCGAGGAGGAGGAGCTGGAGGAGCTGGAGGAGTAGGATGGAGGATGGAGGATGGAGGATGGAGTAGTCCGACTCCGATTCCGGCTCCTGTGGTCTGTCGCCCTGATGCGCCACGATTTGAGCGATGCGCGTAATGACGGGTCGAGTTAATTAATTGCTGCTTCGATTTAAAAATAAACGCACGTTTGCCCGCCGCATTCCCGCCTGTGCAGCCAAGAATGAATGGAATCGGAATCGGAATCGAAATCGGATTCGGATTCGTCTTCGTATTTGGAATTGGAGTTGAGAGCCGGGAGTCCCGGTAGTTGGGAATCGGGATTCGTAATCGAAATTGAAATTGAAATTGACGACAGCGCGGAGTTTGAGTTTGCGCCAAAGAATGCGTTGTGTACCAGCTACACTAATCTACACTGATAAAAAATTAATTACTTGTAAAATAAAGTAATTGAACTTATTTTTATGAGCAGGAGAAGTTTGAGAAAATGTGAGATACATTTGGATTTTTGAAAGTAATCCATCAACATAGAATCTACATTACTACCACTACAGAAGCTCTAAAAAATTAGCTTAAATTTAACACTATTGTATTGTTTTTGATATCAATTTCTATTGATTTTTATAAATATAGAAAAATAATCAAAGTTTTCGATAATATGATATGTAAAAATCGATTTTAAATTAATAGCCCTTGATGATTATTTAACTCTGTACTGAATCCAATTATAATCAAAGTACATTGGTGTTTTGTTATGAAAAGAGAATTATTTGAGTTTACCAATTTTTTAAATATTGATCTTTATTATTTTATAGTTAATGTATGTACTTGTGTTTTCTGGGATACATTTTAGGTAGATGTTAGTTTAATTACTTCTTTATATTTTAGGTAGTTGAAATGACTACTTTTTAAAAATAATTCTTTTCAGTCAATTAAATATTGACTTTAAAATAATAGGTCTTCAATTTTCCCTGTGTATCCTTATAATTCTTCCCCCTGTTTTGTAAAACTGGAGCTCCCAGCTGCCTTTCGATGACACTTTTTTTCACAACTCTGCTTATAAAGTTGTACAACTCTGAGGTTGATGTGGATGGTGTTGCTGGTCGGTTGGTTGTGTTGCCTGTTTGTTTGTACGTTGTTCGTATGCGTTGCCATGACTGCTAATTTGTTTGTTGTAGGCAGGACGGCCATTCACAAATACTCTCGTGCCAAGGCAGCCACTTCCTTTTCCTCCTACCCATATATACACATATACACACTTATACTATAAAAGTGCAAAATTTACTGTTAACGAACATTCTCAACTTTGCCAAAAAGCCAAACAACAACGGCAGCAACACAGAAACTTTCCACAACACTTACGGCAACAACAATGAGATTGGTGCCGAGCAGTAAATGTATTTAGTACCACCGCCCCCATGCCCCATGCCCCACCACCACCTCTGGAAAAACACACCCCCCTGGCCGCCGTCACCTTGCCATTAGGAAAGCCACCCCCAAAAAACACAACACGACAACACTTCGACATTTTCAAAAGTTGACAAATCAGTGCATGTAGAGAGGCAAGGTTCCAAGGAGCAAGGATGTGCCAGGATCGGGCCAGGATGTTTTTTGCTGGGAGGCTGAGCCGACTCTCGGGGGTGGTTTTCTCTATAAGACCAGGAGTGTGAAATTGGGAATGGGGCCTTCAAATATATATACAGAGAAAGCAAGAGAGTGGTCCGATTTGTAGTTGCTTTCTGCTACATTTTGTAGAAAACTTGCCTGGGGGGCTCGAAAAGTTTTTGTAGCTCCCACAGGATATGAGCATATACCGCAGCTAGCAGTCCTTTGTTGGGGCCAAAAACCCTGGGCGACTATGTTGTCGAGTGTGAAATTTCATGCTTGCATTGTTGTCGTTGATGATGTTGCGGCACTTAAACTGGGGAAAAGTCAATATACCATTCTGGGCTGCTTGCCCGGCGTCAAGTGTCTAAAAAGCAGCCATTCTGTGTATTCAGGAGGGCTCTGTGTATATGTGTGAGTAAAGGATCCAGGATACAGGGTCCAGGCCGCGTAGGCAAAGTCCAAAATGGGAGGACACTCATTAGACACTGGCAAGTGTCTACAGGCCAAAGTTTAACTTAATTGTTTGGTTTGACTTTCAAAAATCATATTTTTTATAGAGGTTTTAAGACTTTTAAATAACTTTAAATATATCTTAGATAGTTCTTTATTTTCATAACTTTCTTTTAAACAAATTCACTCTTTAGAGATATGTATATTTTTGGGCTAAGGAAATTATATTAAATGTTCATCCAATTTCTCTGAGCCTGTCAGAAGTGAGCCCATCCAACAAAAGACCCATTTTAAATTAGGGACAGCCTTTGGCAATTAACCAAATTAATTTCTTCGAGTGTCATTGCCCAACGAGTGCAGGATGCAGTGCAACATATGCGACGGGGTCGCAGTCAATTTCTTACCCAAGGATCAGCAGATAAACGGATGAATGGGAATGGGAATGGAAATGGAACTGGAGGGCGGACAGCCTGACAGCCTGTCACTTGCGTGTTGACAAATTTATTAATAAGGTACGAGGCGGCATCGCCCCCAAACAAGATGGGAAAAACTGGGAAAAACTCGGAGGGAAAATACACCGGGCGCGGCCTGGGTTCGGCCTATTTGTTAGCGGCGCTCTTCAAATGCGACGAAGTCATCATCATCCACCTTCAGAGCCGGAAAAACCGTAGAACTGGAGAGCAGGAGCAACGGAGTTTTCCTGAGTTTTTGGGAGCGGGACATGGTGTATTCCCGCGCTGCGGCAACTTGACAGCCGCTTGACAGCTCGTGTCAAAGTAATGAATCCACCGCATTGAGCAGACACTTTTACAACTACGGGTGTACGGCAATATATCTACATATATATATCTATGTATCTATGTATCTATGTATCTTCTCGGGAAGAGAAATCGCTCCAGTTTAGCGCCGGCGGCTGAAGTGACTAATTACGACCCCGGATGATTTATTTAGCAGATGCCGCGACCCGACCTGCCTTGTCTTTTAAACGCCTGCCATCGATCCAGAGTAGGGCCTTGTGTCTTGTGATCTTGTGAGTACTCCTGCCAACGCTCTAAATTGGCGTGTCAGGCAGATAGTGCCTCACGATCCCGATCTGGCACTTTCATAATTTGTTTTTCTTGGAGACAATGGCTAAATTTATACGAGCAGAGCTACTGTCCGGAGATCGGAGACCAGAGACCGGTTATCTATCACTTGAACTAGAAACCAGTTGAAATGCAAATTCATCGATTTGAATATTTTATTATTGGGCTTGTGTTTGATTAGGCGAAACACCATTGCCGGACATCGATTGCACTTAAATCACTCGACGGGCGATTATATTTAATCACACATTAGCGTTTGCCCAGATCAGCGAATATTAGGTTTAGTCACAACAACTACTACTCCTATTTGTATATATTTGTATATATTTCACTCCATCTTCAGTAGCGGCATTCGAAATACTCATTCATTAAACTCTCAGTTTCAATTTCACAGTCGTCAGCGCGTTTCGAGTTCTGTGCTTCTGTTTCTTGGGCTTTTTGGTTTTGCTTTTGCTTGTGCAGCTCTCAAGACTTTTTCCTTTTTTGGCTTGTAAGCAAATAAATTTATGTGTTCACTTTTGAATGCGACATTTTATCGGATCATATTTAATGGGCGCGAAAAGAGGCCTCGACAGGGGAGAAACAGAACGGAGCTGAACTGAATCGAAAAAATGCCTTACGTACTGCGAAGACAAATGCACACATTTAATTTGAAGTAAATACTTGTGTTTCATTTAATTGTCTGGGTTTCTGGGAATGTTTAGAGGAATTTATAGACTATTTTTAAAGATTTTAAGATGTGGCTAAAATATTTCCCTAGTTATTCAAATACTTCTAAGACTTCGCAAGGACTTTGAGACTCAGTTACACTTTTAATCATTAAACATGTAATCACTTTAAGCTCATTTAATCACTTGATTTGCTTACATTTATTATTTAACCAGATGTTTATATTTAAATTATGAAAACCGGATGCAATTAATCAAGTTTAAAGGACTTAAGTAGTTCTTTAATTCAATTAAATGCACTTTAAACCATATTTTAGTTACCAATTAAAGAAGTTTAAGTTAATGATTAAAAGAACTTTAATGAATTTGTTTTCGGTTTCTTTTAAATATATTTCTTATTCTTTTGTTTATACTTGTGTACGTTTCATTATATTTCCAAGTAAGATCTATAATTGTTTTCCCTCAACAGTTTTCCAGACAATTAAAAATAAGATACACATTAAATTACAATTTCTTCCCTTTCCTTTTGAATGTCCTGAAAAATTGTATGAGACAACGTCAACAAGGAACCAAAGTCAATACATTGTATTTAGTTCGATTGACTGGCCTGGGGAGAGTTTCTCCGATTCTTAGGTGGCTTTCCCGGGAACCGAGCATCGAACACATGCCAGAACCCAAGACCAAACCCAATCCCAAACCACTGGGTGTCCAGTCTTTGGGCTCCGCATGTGGTCCCCAGAACATTGTGTCCAAATAGAATTGTTGGCAAACAAAGGCAAATTACATGATGCTATTAGAAGCAAATGCGAGGCGAACAAAGGGCCGACGGCCAAGCGCCGGACATGCTGTGGACGTGGTGGATGTGGTGGCCAGTCAGTGCCGCCTGTCCATTGTCCATAAATTCGGACAGTGCAGGATCCTGGCAGCCTCTCAACTCGAGTCGGAGATCGGAGTTTAAGCCAGCGATATTTCGCAACTTGGCGGCACACACACAATGTGGCTTGAAATATCGCCGCTGGCGAACCAAAGGTCAGCCATAGGCTTAGGCCCTAAGTACCCGGGGACCTAGGGGACCTAGAGGACCTGTGGCCCCCAGCCTGACAAATCGCTTCAAGCGAGGCTCTGCTGTAGGCCAGTTCTTGCGCCACAGGTTCGGAAGCATAGACCCGCGGGGCACGATCAAATGACGACAACGCGACTTGAACCTCAACTTCAGTCCTGAGCCCCAGAGCTTCGGTGGTGGTCTCCCGCTCCGCTTCGACTGGACAAATTCACAAATTTATTGCGCCATTGTTCGGGGACATATGACTTATGAACAGGCTTTGCGAGGCACACAGAGAAATATTAAAGTTGAAGACAAGTTTAAATATAAATTAAGAAGCAAATTCATTCTTTTTCAAATGGAAAACCCCATCGAATGAAGCTTTATCCCTCAATTAATTCTCAAAAAATATTCCATTAGATCTACGATTTTTGTTCAGTGCATCGCCTAATGCATCCCCAGATTTTAAGAATTTCCAAGTGCTGAAGCTCGCTTACCGGATTTGCGTAGAACGGCGGCTGATCGGCTCCAATGCCGGAGAGGTAGGCGGACATGCCCTCCGGATAGACACCGAGGGGCACTCCTCCGGCGGCGGCTAATCGCTGGTAGCTGAGCATGTCATACTGGCAGGAGCAGATCGTCTGGCCACTGACCGGATCCGTGTAGATGGTGCGACCCGTATCACAGCAACGGTTTCCCGAACCGGGTCCTCCTCCTCCAGGCGCTCCTCCTCCCGGTGGTCCCGCTGAATGCGGTCCTCCTGGCGGCGGCGGTCCACCGACCAGCGGCAGCGGTAGGGCGGGCAGACCGGCGGCCGGGCCGCACGGTGAGGTGGAGCGGGCGCCCGGCGGCACCGTTGAGGTCACCATGCCACTGTGGCCGGGCCCAGAGATGCCGGGCGCACTCAGCGGCTGGGCGGCGGGACAGGCGAGCGTGGGCAGGGTCGACGGTGGACTCTGCGGAGCGTTGGTTGGAGGCGTGTTGGGCGACGAGGTGGCAAGGTGAGTTGAAACGGCATTCTGGAAATTGATGGAGAAATTTAAGAGTTAGTAAAGGTGTTAAATTTAAGATGTTACAAATTAAGATCCTGATGTTTAAAATTACTATACTGTTCTCTTATTAATTCTTACTCAAATTAAAAGAAAAGTCAGATCACTAGCTTCTATTGTAGTTATAAAATATTCTTTAATTTAAAAGGGTCATATTTCTTTTTTAAATCAATGTACTGATAAGTACAAGTAAAAACCACCAATAAAACCCCTTTTAACCTTTAACTCTAACTCCAACAAAAAATTAATAAATATCATCACCAAAAAACGAAGCTAATTTCAAACGCTTCCCAAAGGAATTCCCTTTGTCTCAATATTTATTTACCAAATTTTGTATTAAACGACTTTTTTGGTTTATGGTCAGTCTCATTAAAAGGTTGCTTCTTGCTTTGGATAAAAAATAACATAAATAAAAGCAGAATATAAAGAAGAGAAAAGCCGCATAGATGGTCTACTGTACCGCGCTACCAGCTGGCACTAAAACTTAATTAAAAACGTTGCCCCTTATCAATGCGATAAGCGCGACTCTTCAGTGTGTCCGAAGGGCCCAGAACAGAACTCCGGATCCCGAGCTCGGTCTCAGAGTGTCTCCCAGAGTCAATAAAGTGGGCTCTGGTGCCATGCCCACACCTCCCCCTTGTTTCCCCCTTAGCCGATCTTCAAAGTGGGGCCGCCATTACCAACAAATCATGTTTTCGATTGACAACATTGATTTAAATTACACAGCCGATTGCTGCCAACGACGACAACTGACTGCAACATCGACAACAGCAACAGCGAGGCAACAGCAACAGCAACAGCAACGACAACGGCAACGACAACGGCAACGTCCTAAGAGCAATTTGATTGCAAGTTGTCCAATGAGTGCCCGGATCGGGTCTCTATAGTGCCATAGTGTGTGCCGTGCGCACATAAGCCTATCGCGCACTTTTGTCAACACTTTTAGTTGCTTGCAGTGACTGCAGTGCCTGCCTGCACATTCGCACATGGTGGAGACGGGGGGATCTCATGGAGTCTTGGTGGATACAAACGGGTTCCTGGTCTCTCTCTGTGCCTCTTCCCGTTTAACATTTTACAAATGATCCGAGGCGTAAGATACGATTTTTATCGCCGGCCGCCGGTCGGTCACAGAGAGAAAGAGCGCTGCATGTTGTATCTTCGGCGGCTTCGGTCGTGATTGATACCGCCGCTACAGATATTTGTATATATATATATTTGTATATATAGTATGTCCCTGGTCCCTTGTCCCGTCTCGTGCTTTCATCGAGTGACAACTCAAGTGGCCCTATGCGATTAAAAATTAATTCCCGGTGTTTGCTGGGATGGATGGGATCCATTGGATGAATCCACTGGATGGATCCATACTGGTAGGCTTCCTTATCGCTCAGCTCTTTGAATCAGCCGCCGATGATTATCGACTATCTATGACTGCAGGCAGTGTATCTGCGGCTATATATATTTTATTTTTGGTTAGCCTGAAGTATTTGTTTGGAAAGTATTTAGCTTTAAGCCAAGCCACAGGTTGCCTTGCCTCAAGGAAATATTTATAAAGGATTCTCTGATTACTAAACCAACAGGAAAAGTAGAAAATCCCCCGAGTTAAAAAGAGGAACGTACTCTGTGACCTTGCTGGGTTGGTTAACAACCAAAAGACATTGCTTCTAGGGATTTTCCGAATTGGCAGCGAGCATTTCGTGTGTTTTGGCCAATGTAGCACACTTGTGGTCCTGACATTTTCAACGGATTTGGCAGACATCGATCGGAACATCTTCTCGGGTTTATTTTTAACCCCGTGTCTAATGTCTATCGTTTGCCAACCTCAAATCAAATCGAGTTAAATCGATTCAGATCAAATCCCACTGTTTGTGCAATCGGACATGTGTTCGTTCGATCAACAAGTAGTGCCATCAATAAAACGGGTTTCCTCAAGTGCAATCTAATTGTCACTATCCAAACTCAGGCATTAATAACAGCGAAACTCATCTTACAAGCTATAAATTCCATACATAATAGCTGCGGAAAAACAAATTGGAATACGCACCATTACTAAACAGATACCGGTTTCATTACTGTGCACTGTCATTTAATATTAATTTTTGCTTTTAACTAAAACTATAAAGCAAATCTTAATGTTACGATCCACGATCACGAGGTGGAGATCCGCGCGATGCACTCGGAAATAAAGTATAGGTTTTAATTGTGGATATATTATAGGGTTTTACTATATGTTTCAGTTGTTTTGTGAGTTTCTCTTGTGTGTGTTTTTTTATTTATTGTAATTTTGTTTAATAATTTCTTGTAATCTTGTTATTCATCACTTTGGGTGTTGCACTTGCCGACGGCTAAGGATTTTTGTGTCGTTCGGTTCGATCGCCGGGTGGGCACTACGTTAATCCGTGAAATCCGACGGCTGGCGATTAGGGGGATCGAAATCGGAATCGGGTACCGAGAAGGAGCTTTGCCTTAACGCAGCGGGCGCAGCTATCCGGAGGATGCGACGTATCTCAAACTGGAGCTGCGGCTGCTGGGAGCTGTATCTGAATCCAGCTCGCACCACGAAGGCGAGCGGCGTGCGGCGGCTTCGGCGGCGACGGCGGCGGGCAGAGGAGCACAGATTCACAGCACACACAGCACACAGCACACGGCACAGCGCACAGCGAACAGCGAACAGCAAACGGCGGACACGAGCGGTACGAACAATCTGCGTAACAGTCAAAAGTAGACTAACATGAGTTTCTTGGGCAACTACAAAGTGTACGACAAATGGGAATTACACGACAACCGACAATCGAAAAACAGCGCAAAGCAGCCAGGCAGCGGCAGCAACAACAGCAACAAACAACCCCACGCACAGCAACACACACACAGATACTCTCGCCAGCGAGTGTGTGCGTGGTGAGAGAGAGAAAAACGGGTTTTGTGCCACAATATGGGTGCGTTCTCTTTGCTCTTTTCGTATCTGTGTGCGGAGCAGAGAAGGCCGAACCGTATCTGAGCAGTCGTCGGGTATCTGTATCTGAGTATCTGAGCAGGGGAGTATCTGGGCTGGAACTGTGTGTGGAAAAAAGTAGCAAACGAGGCGGCACGACTGCGACGACGACGACGACGGCGAGAACACGAACGGCAACAACGGCAATAATGATTATCATTATAAGTGGGCTGGCGCTGCTGCTGCCAGGCTGTGTGTGTGGCAATTGGAATCGGTGGCTATATCCCCCTATATTCTCTTATTACCGATGCGAGTGCAAGCGAGACCCACAACCGGTTGCGTCACGGGCACGGGGGAGGGTGGGAGAGCGACACAGCTACAGAAAAAGTATCTGCCAGTTGTGACCATAAATAAAGTATCTGCCAGCTGCGGCCGGCGTGAGAGCGGGATAGCGTTTCGGCCACGAATCGCAGGCAGTGCTGCCCGCATTGCCACTGGCCTGTGGCAGCAGTGCAAGCGAGATGGCGCCAGCTGTGAACAGCAGCAACAGCAGCAGCAGCAGCAGCAGCAGCAGCAACGAGCAGCAACAACAGCAGCAGCAGCAGCAGCAGCAGTGAGCGGCAGAACATGAAAAAATTAACTTAACAACTAGAAAAATGGCTGTTATTGCGTGTTGTTGTAAATGCCGATGTATGTATTTGTAGGCGGTGTTGTTGCTGCTGCCGCTGCTGCTGCTGCTGCTGCTGTTGCAACGCTGCTACTTGCTGCTGCTGCTGCTGGGTGTTGCTACGTGTAGTTGTTGCCATAAACAACACAACAACAACAACAGCAGCAGCAGTAACGTCGCGACGTATGAAAGCAAAGTGTTTACGCTCGCTTCTCGCTTTTCACCGCCGATGAAAAATGGTAAAAAAAGCCAAGAGGGGGAGACAAAAATAAGTAAAAAGAAAAGCCTGATGAACATGAACGCGACTCGCGAAGAGGTTGGGCCAAAGTATTATCATCCCCCCTTGGCACCTCGCTTCCCCCTGCTGACCGCTTTGGCTGGATTGGTGGCATCTTTCGCGCTGCTGCTGCTGCTGCTGTTGCTGTTGCTGCTGCTGCTGCTGCCGTCTCTGCTGCTGGCTCCACTCTTACATTTTATTATGTAGGTATTTGTTTTTTGCCCTGGCGTTTCTTTAACTTTTTCTAATTAATTGAAACGCCACTCAACGGCTAGAGCGGGACGGCTTGTATATGCTACATATGTAGGAGTATCTGCAGTCGAAAGCTACTTTGTCGGCGGTTTAACCCCCGGCGGGCCACACCTGAGCCCCATCTCTAGCCCCCGTCCCCGTCCCCGTCCCCATCTCCATCTTTATGCCCCTGCCCATGCCCTGGCCCTGGCCCCAGCTCGAGGCCCGAGCACGGTGTCGCACACGCAGTAAACAAATTCTTACAACATTTAAATGAAGTTACGGCAGCTTTATCCTTTTCTCCATTGCCCAGACATCACCGATTAGTTTTTCGATAGTCATTTATTAGGTGTTTTCGCCGCCCCCTCCCCCACCACCGGGCATCCCTCTGATGATGGTGGGTAAGTTTTCATGAAAATTAATGGATTGACAGGGCCAACAAAAAAAATATACTAACTAACCGCCGCATTTTGGCTAGTTTCAAGAAATGGTTATCTTTTGCTTATTTTAGTTTTTAATTTAATAAAGGTATTGATAATTATGATTACAAAAAATATATTAAAGAAATAACATTTTTATTAACCATTTTTTTGTATTAGAAAAATATTACTTAACCCAATAAATATTATTAATTTACTGCCCAAAACTAGCTATCATTTCTTAGGAATATATAATCTCTTTAGTTCATTGCTTCTCTTAGAATATTTAAATAAATTAAAAAAGTCAACTAGTAAAAAATTGTTTAGCATTGAAAAAAGATTGAAAATAATAATGGAAATCATTTATTGTGATTTAAATTTTAGTTTAAATAAAAATCATTTCTTTAAGTCTAGCATTTCAATCATGAATATTTAATTCAAAGTTTTAAAGATAGATATATAAATAACTTATTATTCCAAATATCTAAAAAGGTATACTATTTTTTAGATTATTATGTATATAAGAAAATTATAAAAATATTAGAAATACTTCTTTGAGTCATTATTTCTTTCAAATAAAAACAAAAACCTTTTTAACATCTTTCTTTTCTTTTATATATTATTTTTTATTGGGGGGTTCTAAAAACAAAATATTGTATTCCCAAATTGTATAAGTTTTAACCCCGATCTTGTATATATACAAGATTAGTTTTAATTTATTATTATATTTTTCATGAGAATTTTAAAGGTCATTTTAATACGATAGATATTATTTATCATAAACAATGTGATCTTTAATTTAATAAACTTATCTGTTACATGTTTTTAATTCCCTCACAATGGCTGTCTTATTAACAGAAGAAAAGAAAAATGATCACACAAATGGATTTTTGGGTGAGCCCAGCTGAAAGTTACTTTACCGATCCGTATCTGTATCTGCCGTCAGTATCTTCCCTTTTAATTCGGAGCGACATTAATTGGCTCGCGAGCAACAAATTCAGATCACGTTAACCCATTGGCGCGCCTACAAAATTGCCGTCGCCTTCTGTGCAGCAAGACAGCAGCAGCAACATCAGCAACAGCAGCAACATCAGCAACAGCAGCAACAGCAGCAACATACTCGCAACAACCGCAGCAGAAACTTTACTGAGGCAGGGGCATCCCGGGGGAGGAATCATGGGGGGACAAGGGAGCAAATCGACGGGGGCTGGGGGATTGGCCAGCCAGCTTTTTCGAGGCGGGCTTTAACTGGCGCTAAGAGAGAGAGTGAGGGAGCCAGAGCTAGCCGAAAGAGTGAGATGGCGAGCAGGGAAAAGTTGCCACCGAAATGGCCGCAAGCAAAAGCGGGAGGGCAAGATGATGCCAGTGCCAGTGCCACCCCCAGGCCCCCAAACCCCACATCCCCACAGTTCCCGAACCCCAAACCCCTCCGCAGTCGTTAGTCGCAGTCGATCCAAATCCAGAAACAACGCCAGTCTTTGTTTAACGATTTTTATATTTCGAACACGAGATATATTTGTATCCTTTGTACTTCGCTTGTTGCCACAGAGTACGAGTGCGAGTGCGAGTACGAGTATCTTTTTTCGTCTTATTTTTTTGTTGTTTTTTATTGCAAGTACTCGTACTCGCAGTCGTGTCTGTGTGCTTGTAGCCGCCTGCTGTATCTGTAGTCGTACAGCTTGTATTGATGGCTTCGCCTCGCTTCGCTGAGCTTCGTATGGTATCTTTGTATCTCTGGGATGCGATGCGTCTGTAGCCCCCCCACCCTCTCTGCGGTGTATCTTTTTCTTGTTTGCAGATAGCTTGGTTGCTCAGGTTGTTGGTGTGCAAGTGTGCTAGTGTGCAAGTGTATGAGTGTGTGTGTTTGTGCCAGGCCAATGATGACGACGGCTCTTGGCAGCTCCATTTTCCGTATCTATGTATCTTGTGTGCGAGTATCTGGAAGCGCGTGTTGCGGCGGGGAGTGCGTACTCTCGTACTCGTACGCGTCTACAAACGCCGACATGAATTTTAATCTAATAGATACAAATGAAAAGGTGTTTGTGTGCTCCGCTCCGGTGTAATCGCTTTGACTCGCCGGGCTTTTGGGGCGTATAGCTGCGGTCGGGGCCATCCGAGGCCTTTGAGAATTTGCTTGCTCTCGAGGAGCTAGATCCCAAGGAGGAGTGTATGTAGTTCGCGTATTGATTCGTTTCCAGCCTCCGGTGCCATGATGCCTCAATGCCTTTATTGCCTCCCCGTTTGTCGGTCCCCAAAGGACTTATTCCGTGGACGTTTGGAGTTTCCTCATCCCCCCAAAGGCTGCGGTTATGCCTGTGCGTCTGCCGGATTTCGTCTCTTTATACAATGTTTTTGATTGATTTTCCTCAAGGAGGGTTTATTGAAGAGCTCTGGAAACTTGTAATAAGTAACAAAATTGCGGATTCTCATTGAGGGATAGTCTGGGGGGCTTGTGGTTGGGGCTAAAGGTACTTGTCTGCGCACTCAGTCTTTATTTTGTAATATTTATTGGTTAACTTTAATTTGATGGTTAATATAATTGGTGTTTTTAATATATAAAACTTATGCCAAGTAAATAATGGAAAAGCTAGGGATATAAGATTATAGAAGGTATTACAGAGACTTTATGATTACAGATTTCTATAAAAGGACTAAGGCGTTTAAAGGGTTAGTACCTATTTAACTTCTAATTTATATTAATCTATGAATTTAAATTGTATTAAATTGTTTGATTATTTAATCACCTAAATATATAGCTTTGACTCTAGGATTAGATTATATCCTCTTTATATATGTATATTCTATTAACTCTGATTAGCTAAACCTTGGTTACTATAAGATTGTGTTATCCTAACTTCTTTTTTACGGCAAATATATCATACTGAAAGTAGACTCTTTCACAAAGCTAGTTCTCATTGAAATCAAAAAATATGTTCTTTAAGTTATTGGTTTTAATTACAATGCTTAAAAAAATAAATATAAAACCTTGGACAAATACCTTATCATCTATATTTTATCTACTACATTTTAAGTTTATGAGTCATGAGCTGAGAGAAATACATTTTTGTATTATGTAGACCTGAATCAAATATATGAA